AGGTGAACAAAAAAAAAAAAAAAAAAAAAAAAAAAAAAAGTACTATAATTGATGTTGACAAAAATCTCCTCAGACCTTCACAGACAATGAAAAACAAAGCTGCTTCCAAAGCGAGTGCCAGGAAGCAAGCATTTGGTGTCTTGGGGACAACGGGATGGCCTGATGTCACCATCTCAAAGCCCCCTAATGCTGGAAGTAGGGACCCCCCCCAATAGCTCTGTGGCTCCATCTTCTCGTTTTTCGAGGAAACAAAAATATGTTTGATTTGAAGCTGTTCCTCAACAAAGTCCAGAAGAGAACCACTTTCCCTCTGAATAGATGGATTGTCCCCTGATAAAGTAACAACACCACACTGCTAAGAATTCTCACAGGGTCCCTAGGTCTCGGCCTCTCGTCTGGAAAACCCTGCTAGAGAATCAGGAGAGAAGAAAGTATTGTTTAAGCATCTCATCTCCTCTTTGAGAAAGAAGTTTCATAACCTTTTACTAATTTCCCATTTCACTGTCATCCTCTTCATCAGAACTTATTGTGGGTCTTTAACTGAAAGATGTCAGAATGATGGGTGCTCTCTGTGCCCCAGGATCTTACAGTCCGGGGGAAGAGAAAACACAAACATAAAATGATTAAAAAAAAAAAATACAGGGTATCCTGAGGCTCTGGGCCTCGAGTATGACCATATTTGGAACTCAAACTGGGCCTTGATTGGGGTAGGTAAGCAGAGAGGGGGGGGAGCTGAGGGGGGCATTCCAGGCTAGGTGGAGGAGTCTCTGGGGACTCAGTGCTGGAGTGCTGCGGGTCAGCCTTTGGCCATTCACAGAGCATCCTCCCGGAGCTCCCAGTGGAGCTTTGCAGCTGCTTTGCCTAGAAGGGCCAGGACCTGGGTCCCTGGACTCCCTCATAACATGGGTCATGACGGCTGAAACCGAACCCGTCACTTGAGCAGGGCAATTTCCTTTTCAAAGTCACCACTTTATTGGGCAGGGATTTGTTTCATGCTTTGCTCACTCTTCCACAGTCATTTTCACCAATGATACGATTACTCATAAGGGAAAGATAAATGTGCTATCCCTCAGACCACTTAAAAAAAGAGAAAAGAAAAAAAAAGAACAAGGGAAAAAGGGACTATTGGCCTCTTTGTAAAGAGTAAATTGTAAAGTAGCTAAATTCTTTGGAGTAAATTGCTTCTCATAAGAAATCAATTCTGACATTGACATGGTAGATTTATCAGTGATTTCCAGCAGTTCCTTTTATAGGGATCAGATTGTCTA